GATAGATAGATAGATAGATAGATAGATAGATAGATAGATAGATAGTAATAACATTACTATTAATTATATATATTTCATAGCTGTACATAGCATAGTGATCATTTTTTATCACAAAAAATTGTGATACAATTGTGATCATACACTCAAAAAGTCATATTTAGGATAACGTATTTAAAGGCATTAATTGAAATGATTGCTAAATTTGATCTGGATTACAATACATAAGTACAACACACATAACTATTCCAGTTATTATTTTAGATACAACAATGAACTGCACATTTAATTTAGTATGTCATATTATCGTATAATCGGATTTGACCCAACACCGCCACTCGAGCAGCACCTGACCCCAAGGGGGGTTAGTTAACTCCCTCGGTATTGGTTTCGTTTAACAGGATGTCATTACGATCGTATTTACATCTGGGGGGAGACCACAGTCTGCAGAGGCCTGACTGAGACGGGAGTAATTTATTTAAACCCTGCGTTCGTTGCTCCCGTCGTCTCCTCACTCGGTTGCCACAACTGAAGGCGGCGCTTGGCATTCGTGTCGCAGGTGCAGAAAGCTGCCGGTCCAGGAATTTTTACTACACTCCTCGTTAAGACGTACCCCCCTCCGCCTGCTGCTACTGCTGCAGGCCTCCTCCTGGGGATTTTTAAAACCTCCCGAGGATTGTGGATCGACATGGCTGACACTTTAAGGAGATTGACCAACACATCTTCATTCAGCGTCTTACAGGACAAGCTTGAGAGTTGGCACAAGGACTACCATGTAAGTTCATCAATAAGTCATGATTGACCTAAATCTGACCACACAACTTCATCCGTGTTAGCCAGTCCTATTTCCATGATCACTATCCACTGAATTGGTATATTTGCATACAGTTGAACCTTTTAGCCAAAGGGTTTCAGATATATTATGAGCATCCTCGTCTTCAGAACATGACAAATAGGTTTGTCTGCTCTCGTCCATTACTGATTTTTATTCGTTAAACCTGTGATTTTCATTTGTTTTGTTCCACTTTATTATTATAATCATAAATGAAACTGTTACAGGCAGTTTGGAAACGCTTTAAATCATTTTAAAAAAATACAGCAAAGGAATGCATTTGTTTAGATTTGATTTCCCAGTGGAGTTTGGTTGGTATGGACGCCGGTTGCCATGGGTACTTTTAGACAGCTCCAAAGATATTTGCCTCAGGTTGAGATGGTTCACTTCCTCTTTCTTCCTGTAGAGGCAATAACTTCAAACGTAGGCATCAAATGCCTTCGAGTGTTTACAGCTAATACGAAATAAAGCTAATAAGAAACTAATAAGTAAAAATGAGTAATAAGTAAGTAATAAAGAAATAACCATCATAATATATATAATATAACAATATAGTACTATATCGATTAATTGATTATATATATTAATTTTTTTTTAAGAAAATCTAGGAGACGTACCCTAACAGACCTAACAAACCTCCTAAACTAAATATTGTTTAAATAAATTTAATATAATAAATAGGTACACTGCATAAAACAATGGAGTTTTTTTGCTGAGCTACTTTTTGCTTGGTTAAATTGTGAATAAATCTTTCCTGTAACCTTCTGTCAGGAAAAGTGAAGCTTAAGAAATGAAATTATGGGAGAACAGGGCAATACCTTCGACTATATAAACATGGACAATAACATTCATAACATTCACAGGGAAATGCTATTTTTCAATTGCCTTAAAACCCTAGTTTTGTGTCAGAGTCTGCAAACTTTTTAAGCAGTTTTTATCAAATGCAATTTTCCCACCTACAGTTCTGAAACATATATGTTAGTTTAATCTGTGATTCTAAATAGGCTTTAAGTGAACCGTTGTCTGTTTCTTTGTACTAGACAGCGTGTACTCTACCTCTGGCACTGTGACAGCTGGGGAAGGCTCCATGTGACTATGATGGATAAGTGGTTAAGATAATGGAAAAATAAATTTGTTTCCTTTTTGTTTTAACCCTCCAAGGTGATTTCTTGTGACCAGAATCTGAACAGATGTTGTGAGCTGATTGAAATCACCGCCAAAATCCAGGGCCAACTGTTTGCCATCCTCAACCTTACAGCTGCAGAAGGTACAAGCTTCATCAGTTTATTATGTTTATTTTATTGAGCACAGATTCTAACATTTTGTCACTAATCAGGTGGACACTATGCCGGAGTGGACACTCTGAAAACACGACTACTACCATGGCTCGGATCCTGTTTCTCAATGGCGAGGCCCTCAGTCAGTGATGACACCAGTCTACAGCTCATCCAGGTGACTCCATCTATCAGTAAACCAGAAAATATGTCAGAGTGTTCATATATATGACATATATATCATCATTTTTAAATGTTAGGATTCAGCAGAGAAGGACAGAAAGATCAGGGAGCTCTCTGCCTCCCATGAGAATGACTTGCAGAAGCTGGAGACTCAGCTGTGCTCCGCTCGGCTACAGCTGGAGTCGGTCAGAGCAGAGTGAGTCTAAGTTATAGATAAAAAAGCTGTCAGACCTTCTTACCTCAGCTTCAATGGCTCATATTTAACTGCACTTTGGTCAGTAAATACAGGTACCGATCTGTTTAAACAGGCTGCTTGATGCTCAGAAGGAACTGGATGAGACAAAGAGCAAGTCTACAACCACCTTTCTGGCCACTGAAGATGAAATATTACAACTGAAAGCCGAGTAGGTGATGTAGATGATTTACTTGTTTTAATATGCACGTATGAGTTTTTCTGTTAACGTGAAGTGTATCTGTGCTTCAGTTTGAGATCCGCACATGAGCAGGTGGACATTTATAAGAGAAAGCTGGAAGCCCTCGATGACTATGAGCGGCAGATTCGCCTGTTGAGAGACGAAGTGTCTTACCTGAGCACAGAGAAAGCCATGCTGCAAGCGAGGTACACGCACAAACATTACACGCTCACACACTGACACCGTTCAGCGTCTTAAATAATTAATATGTTAGATTTTTTTCTGTCTCTCAGGTTGGTGAGGAGTCGTTCTCCGAGCCCTTTGTCCAGGCACAGCCGCTCTTCCAGCCCCGGAAGGAGTGAGTCACCCACCCGAGCCCAGCTCACTAACTCCTCCCGCCACGCCCGCCTTGTGTCGCGCTTCAATGACCTATATGCTGTGGAGCGTCTGGATGCCCAGGCCCTGCTTCGCCGCTACATTTCTGACTTGGAGATGGTCCAGAGAATAATCTTTATTGCAGTTGTGGTATGGCTGCAGCTATTTTAGAGCTGTGTGTACACAGAGCTGATCATTTGATCTGCTGTCTGCTGCGATTCATGGAAATGTATGTATTGCCTGCTTTCCTGTTATAGGAATCCTTCAAGACAGCAAAACTGGCTTACCGTCAGTTCAGGCTACGAGTCAGAAAGACGCTGTCCACATCTCACTTTGGGCCGGAAAGTCTAGAAGATGCAGCTGTGGACTACATCGTCAGAAACCTGGACCTTTATGATGTTCAGACCAGCGTCAATGTAGGATGATGTGTCTCATGTGTGCTGTGCAACACTCATGAACAAAATGCTGTAGTTCTGAGGGAAACCATGATCGTCTTTCATCTCTGCAGGATGTCATCAATGCTATGAATGTGAACCCTCGGATCTCCTTCCCGCCAGAGGTGGACTTTGTCCTCATCAGTTCGTTGATCAGAGAGGCATGCAGAGTGGCCTTCGCCATGCAGACACTGGACCCTCCACTGGACTTGGGCTTTGCCACTGATGGAGAACTATACAATGACATCAAGTCAGTCCTGTTTTTGTACACCCAGCAGTCATTTGTTCATTTTTTAAAGGGAAAGTTTTAAGTAACATGTTTTCCATGCTGCAAACAGTCACTACAGAATATCACTCCTTGAACTTCAGCCTGTCACTGAAAGCCTCTACCAGTAGATGTCACCCACAACACTTAGATGCACACTTCCAACTCTCCCCTGTCTCTTTCCCTTAAGGTATCGGCGCAGCTACGACTCTGAGTTCACTGCTCCTCTGGTGATGTACCATGTGTGGCCAGCCTTAATGGAAGGAAACACTGTAATAGTGAAGGGCGAGGCTGTGACTAGAAGTGGTGCTCTGGTATTGGTTTTTTAATGTTTAAATATATCACAATTACTGGATGTTATTTAACAGGGTACGTGAGGACACGAAGATGCATACAAAGCTCGTGTGCATACTGGTGGTTTTTCTGTTTTTGCAGTGGAGCCGAAGCCGCAGCAGAAGCAGTAGTACCAGCCCTGTGCGCTCTCGCTCTCTCAGCCCAACTCGCAGCCTTGTAAGTCACTATAATATTAAATAGTCCAACCACACAGAAAGAAAAGCACAACTTGGGAGTTTTGGTCACACAGGGGATAATTTTCTTTTCCTGGGTATAACATCGCTCAGCTACTCATGAAATTATGATTCCTTTCACTTTTTGTACCTAACAACGTGCCTGCATACCCATGGCTCTAAGGGTATGTAATTCAGAATCACTTTTTAAAATGTAATTTGGTTTGTTTAAGCTTTAACTTACCGGTACTCAAAAACTGGAAGTATAATCATCATCATTGTCTTTTTTAGGCATTTAACAGCAGAAGAAGCCTGTCTCCTGGACGTCTCAGAGCTAGCCACCTGTGACATTTGGCCACATGTGCTGAAAGTCAAATGCATGGTCACACTTATGCTTCTACCAAATAAAGCAATGAAACCGTTCATA